CGGGCGGCGGACGCGAGAGCGATTCGAAAAAATAACTATTGGGGAAGTGGTGATGATTACAAAAAGAAGATAAGAAATATACAATTAATACAATAATAATAATAATAATAATAATAATAATTTCATAATAATAATGATATATCAATATAATAATAATAATAATAATTTTTCGGCAGTAATAATAATAATAATCTATCAATAAAAAATAGATATAATAGTAGTACGTTCGTAAAATATAGTACTTAAAATCATACTCAATAAAATTAATAACGAAAAATTGTCATAAACTAAAATCAAAAGTAATTGATAACATATGGTATAATGTAATGACTTATAATAGCACAGCAGCGTATGATTAGATTCACGCGCCGGACATGCATCGACCTCCTCCTTATCTCTCTTATTTGTTCGCTTTTTTTTTATTTTTTTATTTTTTTTTTATTATCGTTTTTTCTCTTTTTCTCTTGAGACACTTTCTCGGAGCGACGACGCTCCGATTCCGCGAGAGGAGCCGCCGAGGCATATCTCGACGATCGCGCGATCATACGTTCGTTTAAAATAAAATAAAAGAAAAAAAAGAAAACATCAGTGGAGAACGCGAAAGATGAGAGAAGGGTACGAAAAGAAGAGACAAAGAGAAGTGACGGTAGGCGGGAAAAATAAAGTGGAGAACGGAAGATCTCCATGTTTTTGCGCGGATTTATTTCTCGCTTCCGTCGCTGCTCTCGTCAAAAAAAAAAAAAAAACGAGAAGAAACGAAGAGAGAGAACGAATATTCTGCCGCGGTTTTCCCTCTTGAGAGCACTCCCGAGCTGTTCGGAGAGCTCGACGGAGTTCGCATGTTCAACCGAAATGTAATTGGAGGTGAAGAGAAACAAAAAAAAAAAAAAAAACCAGAATAAAAGAGTCAAGCTGGAGGAAACTGGTGAAGAGTGACGAAGAAGAGAAGTAAATCGTTGCGAAACAATCGAAACGATCGAGATCAATAGAGGAGATTTAAAAAAATCAAGAGACGAAACTAAGAAAAAAAAAACAAAACAAATCAACAGTACTCTGCTCTCTTTCGCTTGCATCTGCACTATATATATATAATTTTTATGTATATATATATATATATATATATATAATATATGTAAGGAGGGGGGGATTATTACATAATACCATATACTTGTATATTATATATCACGTGACCGCCGTACATCTTCCGTCCAATCACTCGCATCGGGTTAATTGAATAAAAAAAACGAAAGATATACATATACATATATCTACACAAAAACTAACTGAGAGAAAAAACATACGGACACGCGAACAGTATCGATAGTAGAAAAAAAAAAAAAAAAAAAAGAAAAAAAGGAAAGCACCTCAAGCGTCGTGCAAGCGCTCGCATTATTTCCCTCCTTATTTATTTGGTCGCTTCTTTGGATTGGTCAGCTGGACAAAAATTGATCGACAAGATGTATTGCCTTTTTAACTGTGTTCTTTTTTTTTTTTTTTTGTGTGTGTGTGTTTCTATGTGTTACGCATAGATTTCTTTGACGGCGTGTGCAGTCCGATTACGGATTGTCCCCGTCATTTTGTCGGAATTATTTGCAGTCCAGACTCTATCACAAGGCAATTGCGAGCTTCTTTACATACGACTTGAGATCCGAGCTTTTCCGGAGGAAAATTCCAACGAGTAAAATTGTCTTCTGTTTGTTTTATCAGAGTTATCCTCTTTCTCTCTCTCTTTCTTTCTCTCTCTCTTTCTTTCTCTCTCTCTCACTCTCTCTCGCTCTCTTTCTATATCCCTTTCACACATCGATCTCATACACGCTCGGTCCGATCGAAATTTCTTCGCTCTCTCTTCCTTTCTTCCTGTCGTTTCCTTTTTCTCTCGCAAAAAAAATAACGAATAGATCGCAGCGGTCTATATGGTCCACGGGACATTTGGCTACAGGTAACGTATTTTTTAGGCGTAGTTGTTTTTCAGAGTTTACATATTTTTTAAGTGGAGCACGGTGGAAAGGTTATACGTACAGCGATAGGGATAGGGTAAAAGGCGGTCTATCGTTTGTGACTCGCTCGCGCTTCTTCTGTTTCGATTTAAAAATAAACTTTTGTGCAAAATGATCGCATGTGTTTACAAGAGCGCTAAAACAACAAACTTTATAAGATTTAATTATTGACTTTGAAATACAAGCGACACGGCAGATTTCCCAGCAATTGCTTTCTGAAAAGTTGTAAAGAGCAAGAATAAATCAAATGCTTGTTATATTCAATTGTGTTTAATAAATATCATGTATTGCATATTGTGTTGATATTTATTTAATAATATAAAGTTTGCAAAACATATAATTTATACAAATGTGTGTAAAAATTGAGTTAAAAACAATACAAAATAAAAAATTAATTAATTAATTAGATGAGATAAAGCTAGTGGAGATACGTGCAATATGTTTTTCGATCGTCGAGCGAGTCACCGCGAGAAACTCTGAGAAAAGCGGACTATCCAAGTGGCACGGCGACAAACGATCATGAACCTATCGATCGGAGTCACTTGCGTGCTCCGCTATAAAAACGAGAACGAACGAAACCGTGGGCGACGGTTGGCACCTGACTGTGGCTGGGAGCGACAGAATAATCGCGAATTATTTTCCTTACTTCACTATAGACACGAGTACTACAACATCCGAAGAACGCACAACAGTCATTTTTATGGCAAAACTGATACAGTCTGAGCAAATGAAATTTCTCATAAGACCTTAAGACGATTACGATAGGTATTTGAAGACAAGTGTGTGTATGTATTTGTGTCGGCATATACATTATGTATGATTCTGTGTGTACAACGAGCTCTTGTTTTGTGATGCAGTTCAAATTTTTACGTGCTGTTTGAATCGTCCGGTGTTCGACCGTTCGGCGCGAAAACGCGGGAAAAGATCACAATTTTATATGTACACGGGACGGTCGAACGTGGTGAAGTTTTGTCCTGGTAAATACTGACGGAAAGATCTCTCAAATGTCTCTTTTTCGATACGGCGTACTACAATAAATTTACTGTTACTCATCAGAAGTGGAATATTACAGCGACGAGTGTTCGGACGCGATAGTCTCTATCGAGGGCAACGCTCTCCGCGTCGCGTCTCGCGTCAAGCGATATCCCGCAGCGAATCCTGTCAAAGGATTTGCCGCTAGCGCGCAAAATTCGAGAGAGCCTCGCTCTTAATAGTCTTTCGTATTGCGGAAAATCGCGATTACAGAAGAGGTGGGAGATCGCGCCTCTACAGGAGGAAAGAGGAATATTTTTAAAACAAAAAATATATGTATTTGTAAATATATATATATATATGTATGTATATGTGTCTATATATATATTCATGTATGTATATGTAGAGAGGGGAATCTCGATCTCTTAGAAAAAATATTCGCCATTGAACTAAAACACGTGAGTCTCAATGATTGGTCCGATAAGACTAGTCGATTACTTCTTTATAGCGCCGGGGAGTTTTGAGACCTCGAGCTTTTACACATTTTGCAATGAGTATCGAAATAATGAAGTCGATAGTACTAATAATAATAAGAGTACGAATAAAAATAAGAAATAAAAATAATATAATAATAATAATTATAATAATAATAATAATAATACTAAAAAATAATTATGATCAGTGTGTTGTCAGAGATTACTGAGTGTAAATAGTGATGAACAGTTTCGTTGTTATAAACCTAGATATCCGAGTTAAGCTACAACAACGTCATTATCTCTTTCTCTCTCTTTCTCTCTCGTTTTTTCTCGCATCGAATATAAAACATTTATCTCTCTAAAATCACTTAATTTCTATCTTTAATCTTGAGGTACAATCGAGCGCCGACGCCGTTCGTTTTTGACGAGCCGTGTGTCAAAGAGAGAAGAAGGAAAGTTTTGAGAGAAACGAACGGACGGAAAACAAACGGCGTCGGCGCCTAACAATCGATACCTCCTAGGAGATCATATGAAAGAATCCTTAATAATTAATATTATAATTATACAAACTATTTGCGCGCGCACGAACGCGTCTTCTATGAGTACAAAAAAAAAAAAAAAAAAAAAAAAAAAGAGAACAAGGTGGAAAAAAATACAAGGAGAGAAACGCAACCACAGTTGCGGTTGTGAAAGTACGTTAGATCGTGTCTTCAAGGGGGATTTTCTCGTGTATGTGTGTACGTGTACGTGTTTCACAGAGAAGAGGAAAAAGGTTATATTTATACTCTATTCGTACGGATTATTTGTTATAATAATCGGCTATTAATTATTACGAGATCACAGTGACGCTTTGACGCGCGGGAATCTCGGACGGGCGGGCTGCATCTACAGCTGATTTGTCTTTTGTTTATACATACTACTGTTTCATCGAATTTTTTTTTTTTTTCATTCACCGTGTGAGCAAAACGCGTGTATGTAAAAGACTGCTTTTGTCTTATTTCTTATTGTTGAAAAATTTATGTAAAACATTCTCCGCATGAAGTCTCGAATAAAACGCGTATCAACAGCCAGCCCCCCACGATCCACATAGTCACAGTTATAGCTTATTTCCCACCTTTGACCTACGTCCATCGACCTTCATCAATCACAAAGAAGAACTGCTATTCGCTATCTTTATAACACCACCTCCCCGCCATACTTTCTCGCCGGGCTCGCGCCCTTTCAGAATATACGATTCTCTTCATCGCACAACGGATTTATCTCTCAAAACAATAATATCCCCAAATATACCATTTAAAATATATATATACGCTTTTTCTATATATAATTTATTTATTTATTTATATGTCTCCATTATGTGTA